AACAAGGAGATAAAAGCTTCGGTCTTTAGCGAGGGTGAACGGCTGCTTGTCAAGCTCCATCATTTCCATCGTTAAGTTGCTTGAAATCTGCGTCCTCTCTGGCAGTTTTATTGGATTTGTCAAAAGCCTCAGCAATGATTTAAGTCCCGATGAGTTTTTGAACGCTAGCTTGTTGTTGTTAGCATTTTAGCAGACGGACTCTGTGCTGCATTAGGGCTGTGTATTGGCAAGAATTTGGCAATACGATACATATCATAATAGAGGGGTCACAATACGATATATCCCGATATATTGCGATACTGTAAGCAAGGCAATATTGCGATATATTGCAATTTTTTTGTCCAAAAATTCTATTAAATAAAAACCTCTTACTGAAAAAAAGAAAAGCTAATGTTTACTTACAATGCTAATGCTACCCTTACTCTCTGGCGCTCAAGAGGTAGAGGAGCCAAATGGCTGGCTTGCTGCTGCCAACTAGTGGTCAGAGGCTGAACTACAACACAAAAATGAACGGTTGGCAAGAAGGTTGACATTTTAAACCTTAATTAAAAATCGATACAGTGCTTTATAATATCGATACAGTATCGGGAAATGAAATATCGCGATATTTCAGTGTATCGATATTTTCTTACACCCCTATGCTGCATTCAGGAGGTAAGGGACTTTACATGTTCTCAAATTGGGAGTAGTTTTTCCAACCTTTTTATGTGTATAATTATAAAGTTTGTGTGTAACATACATGGTTAATTGGTAAAATAATATTAATAATTCTTAAAATGACTGGTTTTTCAGCACGGAGTATTCTAATTATTGTTATAGTGAGAAAGTATTTTTTTCTGATGCAACTTGAACATTGCTTGGGTTGTGCCAGACAGGAAGTGATTTGAACAAAAAGGGTAAAAATAAACACACATTCTCATCTCCGCGCTGGCAAAAAAATATATTATCATTTCTGTTTGTTATGATATCGGACCAATAAGTATGACGTCATAATTCCCTGATATCGGGCCGATAACTATCGTGCACCCCTACAATGTAGGGTTACCAATTAACTGAACGTACAGGTTTTGGGTCTGTGGGAGAAAACCAGAGTACCCCCCACATGCACGGGGAGAAACTCCACCCAGAAAGGTCTCCACCTGGGCTGTGATCCTGCAACCATCTCACTGGAAGGCAAACATCTAACTGAAAGTGAACCTCGTGCTCCTGAACCTGACTGTATTTGTTCTGTTTTATTTATATTTCTCTAACAATTAAATGTGATGTGGTAGTGGCGACGAGTCAGTTACAATCCATAATCTGAGTGTGGAATCTTGCCGTATCACATGAGGTGGCGAATAATTTTGTTTTCAAGGTTTGACCAAAATAGATATAACTGTCATTTCTCATTAAATGGTTGTAGTGTGAGACTCTGTCATGAAGAATGGTGTGAGGAATGCTTATAGTTTTAGTAGGGATGACATTGACCGATAATTTGTTGACAATAATATTTTTAACCAAGCATATTTTTAAGTATAATTTATCCTAATTTCTTAAATGTTTGGATTAAAATAAGTGTTACTACTAGTATTCTCTGCCTAGAGGAGCCAAGTATTGGTTCCGTTCAGGCAACAGCTTTTGAAAATATTATGACAGAAGACTTTTCTTTGCCTGCTTCATTGTTGAACTGCTGGTTTATAAATTTTTCCAGGGCTGAAGGGTCTAACGTATGGGAGTACTTCAGGCCAGCTGCTAACAGAGTGGTTTGTAGGCTCTGCAAGGTTTTCTGGTCTTACCACAGCAACACTAAACTGATGCACACAGAGGCTGCGATCAGCTGACAGCAATGTGAAGCCACCATAAGTATTTTCAGGCTGCTAAATAAATGTTACTCTGCCACATTCTTAGGAGAATAAATGTTTAAGAAAATTTTTAGACTAGAATCTGGAACCAAGTGTGATCATGCTGTGCTGGTGTTATGCTGATTTGTGTACCCCTGTCAAATTTAGTTATTTTTACTGCTCTGATTATGAAGTCACCAACATGTCCAGATGGAAGCAGCTAGAGTCTAAAACTCTTTGTCTGAATGATTGGGTGTCAAGCGTTGATAGTTCCCACGTTTATTGTACTGTTTGATAGAATAGAATGAAGCAAACAGTCAATTGGTACAATTACCTGAAGTCTTCCTCAATATAGAGCTGCTCCTCTTCCAGCTCTGTTGTGAAAGCAGGCGACAGGGAGCCACTTGACTCCACTCCACCACAATCCTCCATGGGATGTGTTTGCTTAGAGCGGTTCTGCCCAGTCCTGGTCCTTGAGGGCCACTATCCTGCATGTTTTAGTTGCTTCCCCTGCTTTTCAGCAGGTCTCCAGTTCTGCAGAAGCCTGTTAGTCATTCATTCAGATCAGGTGTGTCAAAAGAGAGAAACATAGAAAACATGCCAGGTTGTGGCTATAGGGCTATAGCCATAAGCCAGTGTTTCCCAAAGTTGGGATAGGGACCCAAAGTGGGGTCCCGAAAAATCAAGGTGGGGTCCTGAAAAGATTTTTGGAATTAATTACATTTTTGCCTTAGTTGTTACAAAGGAGTATAAAAATTATTGTTACTATTAATATTAACTATTGTTTTGTTGACCTGATACAAATGTTTATCATCCAAAAATAGTTGGGGCCTCAGGTCTCTGCTACTGTTATTTTGTGGGTCAAAAGCTGAAAAGTTTGGGAACCACTGCCATAAGCAATAAATCAATCACATGATAAATTAAAATTAGATGAGTTTTTTTAATGAGGTTGATAATTTTCATTTAATTTCTTTTAACTCTTTAGGGAGGAGTGAGCTGTCTTTCCAGGTACTGCATCGTCTCGAAACCTCTTTAGCATTAGGACGATCCAGATTTTTTGGCTCCCGATACAATCCGATTTTTTTAATGATTAGTCTTTCCGATACCAATCCAATACCGTTCCAATAGCTTTATTTCTTTATTTCTTTCCAAGTGACAAAGTTGGTAGTATTAAAGCGAGCCCTGCTGTTTCCACCACAAGAAACATCCAGTTTACAGATTTTGCAAGATGCAGTTTCAACATCCATTGTTTTCCATTGAAAAGTGTTCCCACACTGTGGACATGGTTGCATGCTTGTGTGCATCTTGACTTCTTAACAGCAGTTGTAAAGCATGATGATGCTGAAAACTGTCGCGAAAACTGGATCGGCCCGATAACATGGCCAAATCTGATTCTACCTGATTTTCAAAAAATGGTCATATCTGCCACAGATACTCTGAGTGCATATCTGATCAGGACATCCCTATTTAACATTAGAGCCCCGTGAACATTTAGCTAGAGGAGGGTCTTTTTTCTCATGACACCATGCCCAACCTTGGGTTTACGAGTTGTTTTTGTTTGTTTTGTTTTGCATATGTAAATTTCATAAACTTCTGTAATCTTTGTAAGTAGCGCAAACGTAACTGCAGGGTTTTTCTGACGCCAGAGGAAGACAGATTAAATAGCACAAGCTTGGATAAAGGAGATGGGAAGCGATTTTACAGCTTCACCAGTTGTTTTTGTGTCTTGTTTTTACAGTCTTTGGTCCAGGTCGTTTTTTTTTTTTGTTGTTGTTGTTTTTTACGTACATTAATTTTATAAGCTTTGTAAGCAGGGTTGTGGGTGGGCGGGAGTTGTATTAGAGCTCAGTCCAGGACTGACGTGTGTTCTGTCCTTCCAGGATCATTCAGAAAAAACACAATATCAGAGGTAGAGGTGGGCGATATGTATATCACAGACGATATTCTCGTTCATGTTGCTTTGAAGATATGTAAATTCACATTATTGAGTATTCATACTGTCTCGAACAGACAACAAATACAGTGGTGAAGACAGAGGCATAACTCCCCATTCACTGAATATTTGCCACAGAAACCTTTGTTCATTGTTCACTGATGAACATTAACATTTACCCTCTCCGCATCATCGTCAGGAGAACATCACCATGTTCTCTAGGAGACTATTTCAAATGTTTTTGTAGTTTGTCATATCCATACATGTCCTAGTAAGCAAGCTGGATTTGACAGCATGTTTTTATCTTTATTTTTTTAAAGAAAGAAGGAAAGATATAGTCAGATTATCGATATCGGAAAATGAAATCGAGATTTTTTTTTTTGTCTATATTGCCCAGTCCTAATCAGAGGTAGTATCAGAGCCGGGCCAGCCAACTTGTGAAAAAGAAAGCTGCGGTCCGCAGCTCGAAAAATGATAACGAACTGATGACATCAGTGAGCGACGGCAGGATTTAATCAACAAACAGATTTATTACTGAGGGGATATGGAAGATGACACTGACAGGACAGCAACTTTGTAGTTAGTTTTAAAAATACTGAACCACAGGATTGCTAAAATTAAGTTATTTCAGTTTGTTTTGCTTGATATGAGACAGACACACAATAAATTTGTTGTGAGATGTGTTCCACGTCTCTTTTGGTTCTGCACTGCTGGGTTCATTTCTGAACGCGTACATTTGAGCAGGACCTGGCCGGCTTCTCCTGTGATTTATGAATGAACCGAGGGAACTTAAATCCAGATTGGTGTGTGAGGCCATTTTGAAGAACTGTCTTGTGAAAGAGGTTTAAATTAGTTGAAAATGGTCACTGAATGATATTGTTTATCATAATTTCTGAGACAATTTATAGTCCAGCAAAATTTGCCATGATGGGCCTAATTATGGCTCTTAACAACCAGGATTGGCCACCACTGGTTTAGTAGATTGGTTGTACTGCTTTGCACTACAATGGAAATGGAAATTTAGACATAAATTCTACTCTGTAACCCTTAAACTGCTATGTAGTAGAGAATATATGCGTCAAAGTTGTTAAAACACTTAACCAGAAATGTTTATTGCCTGTCGCCAGAGTTGTCTATCACAGTCAAGCATGAGAGGTGACAGGATATCATCACCTGTCAATGCAATGTATAAAAGGTCTAATGTCTTCTAAAAATAAACTGTCCAAACTTTTCTGTGTCTCCCTCAGGATGGAGCGGATGTCTGATGATGCGCTGAGGCTAAATCTGCTAAAGCGAGGTTTAGAGTCACCCAGTGAGCGGGAGGAGGCCCTGTCCAAGCGTCTGAAAATGGAAGGTCACGAGGCCATGGAGCGTCTTAAGATGTTGGCGCTACTGAAACGCAAAGACTTGGCTGACCTGGCAGCCCTTGAGGTTCCAGGGACGCTCGGAGATGGGAAAGGCCCCGGAGCCAGCGCCATCCACCACCAGAGCCTAATGGGCGCTGCCTATGAGGAGAAGCTAAACGGGAGTCTAAGGCTTGGAGGCCACAGTGGTCACGTTGGACAAAGTAAAAATGGAAAAGAGAACATCATAGATGAACCTGTGGATATGAGTGCTGGCAGAAGATGGTGAGAAATAAGTTTTTATGGAACACTGTGTATAGTACAGGATGTACAGTTGTGGTCAGAAGTTTAAACATTAATCATGGGCCTGACTGTCATAGTAGTTTTGGCTTTAGATAGTGGAAGAATTTTATAACATACAACTTGAACAAGAAAACAAGAAGTGGTGTGAATTCTGAGAGTCTTAAAGACAAATTTAGACAAGATTGTGTCAAATATAAATATAAACAGAATGCAGGGATTTGAAAATCTATGAAACACGTATTTTATTTGCAATGGAACATATTAAACATATCAAGTGCTTTGGGGTGGGGGGTCATTTAGATTTTATGACATCAACACAACTCAAGAAGTTGGAACAAGACTTTTCCCACTGTGAGGCATCCTCTTCTTTTAACAACAAACGTTCAGGAACTGAGCAGAACGGTTGCTGGTGACTTTAGAGGGAATGTTGTCCTATTTTTGCCTGGTGTAGCGTTCTATCTGTTCAACGGTCCTGGGTCGTCTTAAGCAGATTTTTTGTTTCATGATTCTTCATAGGGGTGCCGATTTCCTTACTTTTGGGAGATTGGAGATCGGCTGATCGTTAGATTAGATCAGCTTTTCTACTTCCACAAAGGTCTGAAAATCAGCCACTGTCCTCTTTTGCTCTGCTCTGAGCTCTACCTTATATTCAGTTAAAACAAGTTTGTATTGTTTAAAGTATTTCAGTAAAATACCATTTGAACATTGAAGTTGTATTGTGACTTTATAACATCTGACAGTGTCAGTTATTTAAAAAAATCGATATCGGTCAAGATCGGAAAGAGCAGGTCAGACCTTTTAGGGATCGGAGATTGACAAGAAAACTGTAATCGGTGCACCCCTACTTCATATGTTGGTCAGAGATCTGGACTGCACACAGGTCAGTTAAACACCCAGACTTTTCAGTTATGAAACCTTGATGTTGGTTTAGCATTGACTTACTAAAATATGCAAGGCCTTCCCTGAATAATACACCACATGTGGCTCTAAACTCGAATATACTTTTCTGCATTGATTGTGCCTTTCTAGATTTGTAAGGCCTGAGTCACACTACAAGATTTTAAAACAGTCGGACGATTTTCAAAGACTGAGAGACTCCACACATGAGGATAAAAAAAATCATAGATATACCAGGTTTGGTCCCACAGTGTGTGGTGTACAACCACACGGCAAGAGACAACACACCACACACGTAAAGATATTTCATTCATGAACATTCAGATGTTGTCGGCTATTAAATCACGCGAGACTTCCTGAAATCTCGCGAGAATTCAGATGTCCGAGGAAAAATCTCACGTGACCTCCAGAGACGTGAGTTCAGAGTAAATAAAGCTTTGCGACGAGGAAGAAACAATGTTGATCGTTTGTGGACTATTTTTACCAGAGGAAGAACAGTTCCATAGGACTTCTAACATCCAGCAGATTTTCTGGTGAGTCCTGACAGTTGTTTTTTTTTTTGTCTTCTCTATTTTGGATTCCGCTCCATGTTTACGTCACCTTGCTTTTTGATTGGCTACACGTCTTATTCACAGGCTGAGAGCTCGGCTGAACACTACACACACTGTGATATCGGGCCAAAAACTCCTAACTCACCTCCCACGGCGGGAATATCTGCTATGATTATGTTTAGAGCCATCACGATAATCTGGACTTTCTTAAGATTGTCGTAAGGGCAAAAATCGGCCTGATTTTCTTGTAGTGTGGCGCCGGCCTAAGCTGTACATGCCAGATACACTAATGCACCCCAATACCATCAGAGAGGCAGCTGTTTGAACTGTGCTCTCATGACAGGCCGAATGGACGTCCTGCTTAGTACCGAGGACGTGGCATCGTTTTGTTTTCAAAAAGATCTTTGATGCTGATCTCAGAACGGTTTTCCTGTTTGCTTCAGTCCATTTTAAACTAGCTTTGGCCCAGAGGTGGTGATGTGTTTGGATGGCATTAACATATGGATTCTCTGCATGATAAGGCTTTAAGCTGTGTTTGTGGATGGCACAGTGAAGTGTGTTTACAGTGATTTGTGGAAGTGTTGCTGAACACATGGTGCTCGTAACAGAATCATAACTGGTTTAATGCAGTGGCCGCTGAAGGCTTGAAGATCACGGGCATCCAATATTGCCTTTAGATGATTCTCCACATCCTTGAAAGTTTTTGATGACATTTTCCAAATTTTTCATAGAGGAACATCTAATTTTAGAACCTCTGCCCAGTTTTATTTGTATTCATGCCATTTATCACATAAATTAACAGCCTTTTGTGTCCGCATCCAAACATTTGAAGTTGCTGTCGTCAAATTCCAAAATACCTTTTTCCAAAAATGGCACAATATCTTAATTTAAAAAAATAATAACTATGTTCCATTGTGAATAGAATGAGTTTTGAGGTTAGCAAATCTTTGGATTCTGTTTTTTTTTTTCTTACATTTTACACAACGTCCCAAATTTTTGGCATTAAAAATCTATCAATCAATGCAGTCGTTGCTCGACTCCTCAGCTCTACATTGTAGTAAAGAAAACTTGTGTTTATTAATGCCAGGTGAACGTTTTTATATATATATATAGATATGATTTGCTTCATATTCAACACACCATGTTGTACTTTGTGTTGGTCGTTCCTCTGTTGGAGCCAGCATCATGTTTTATTTATATTTTCCCCCTGTAGTTTTAGTTACAGTAGCTTAGTTTTGGCCTAAACATCGTGGGCCAGACTTCACCCCCTCATGCACCAGTGAGGCTGGGCTACACTCAGTTTTGCTGATCACCAGTTTTCCAACTGGTCACATCCCAAAGCTGCCACAGTTGAGGAACACCAGCACAGTCTGGCCGCTTCAATTTAACCCCTCAACAAGGATGCTAATGTTGTTTCCTGTTCTGCTTTCAACAAATCAACGTATCTGCCAGTGCTGTTAAGGGTTGTATTTCACTGGGCTGGGACTGTTCTGGTTTACCTGGGGACTGAAAAATTGCAAGAAAATAGGCTAATTTTCCTTTTCAGTCTTACTAAAGTCTAAATGTTTCTAAATGTGAGCCATGTGGTCACATTTCGAAAGTCCAGTTTTTGAAAATCACCTACATTTTACTCGCCTTGGCAGTCTCCCTCTACAGTTAATGAAGAAAAGTCAGTTTGGAACCAGTTTTAGTGATTATCATTTAATTCAGTTTATTTGTGTAGCACCAAGTCACAACAAAAGTCGTCTCAGGGCGATGTACAAAAAGCAGCCAGCAGATTGGTTGAATCATCTCTCGTCCTGAGCAGCACATTGGCTGCAGTGTTGCATTTTAAATTGGCGTGGTTTTTACATCTGGACATTTGGGGCTATAAACTTAGAGGAGAACTCCAGTCACAGTTCTGACCATTAACTGTTTGAGATACGATTGGTCTGGAGATCAATTTATCCCAAATTATTTAAACAGGTTTGTTATTCAAGCAACAAGGCATTAAAGTGCCTGTGACATCTAATTTTTGAGATAAACGTGAATACATTTTTGGAAAGATAAGATTGATGAAATATTGCAAAACAAATTTCATGTCACTGAGATGAACGGTTATTGAGATATTTACATGTGAAGAAACAGGAAGTGATGTCAAAGGAGAATGTCAGCATGTAAACAGAGCCTTGCTACTATGACTAACAACACAGGCTGTAGAGAAGAATCTCATGTTTCTTTAGATTATTTTGAGTCTCTATCAAAGAGAGACGAGGAAGAGTTCAACTTTAAATCATATTGTTTTAATTAACAAAGACCAGGGAGTTTATTTTATTAAAGAGTTCCTCTTTGATGTCACTTCCTGTTTCACTTAGGCTGAGCCAAGTTCAAAAGAAAATAGGCCGGTTATGTGACAAAATGGGTAAAATCATGTGTATTTTCTTAAGTATAAAGATGTTTTCTTTGACTTTTTGTATTTTAAGTATATGCATGTCACAGGCACTTTAAAGAAATATTAGGAGCCAACATAAACATTTTGAGACATTTTATAGACTTATATGTGAATTGTGTTGTATCTCACTGGGCTGTTAATTATAACTAATAGGAGAAGTTATGATGCTTTTTTCTGATTGACGTACTTATTTATCTGATAGAAAGTAAAACAAAACGAGTGACAGAACCCTAATTAAATCAAGTTAGACATCTACTTTATCTTCTGATAAATATCCCTGTCAATTATCACTAAAGTTGATGCAACTTTTCACTTTTCTCGTGCTGCCTTGTAGTGAGGCTGACCGTGCCAGACAAACTCCATCTCCAGATGTCATCATCCTGTCAGACAACGAAGCATCCAGCCCTAGGACGACGCCTCGACCTGACGAGCGCATGCAACAGGCCAACCTAGATATGTTCAAGGTAATTAACCGTCAACATCTGCATCACCTCTGCACAGCTTTCATGTTCCGATGTTTGAAATCTAAATGTTAGAGTCCAGCTGTCAGCGCGTTAGCAGTAGGAGACGTTTGGTTCTCTTGGTTCCAGAAGTAAATTATTTTTTCTCACCACTACAGAAGTTCTGTAATTAGCCCATGAAAATGGTACTGCAATGAAAAAGCAAACAAGTTAATGAACAAAATCAGAAACTTGCATATTTACTTTTGCTGTTAGGAAAGGAGCAGGTTATCAAATAATTATTTTCCAAAGTTTGTTCACAAAAGCCCTTTAAATTTTATGTTAATTTCTTGGGATGCATGATATATTAGCATTAACACTGGAAGTGGCCGATGTTGGTCATTGTTTTATCATATCTGTTAGAGCTGGGCGGTATGACCCAAATTTTATATCACAGTATTTTCAACATTTACACCAGTTTCACGGTAAATCACGGTATTATTTTTTATCACAGCTCAGCTGATGATAATAAAATGTACAAATGTTGCTTATTAACTTTTTTCTTTTACTGTACCTCTGTCTGTGTCGCTGTTTCCCTCCTCTGTGTCTGTTCTTCTCTGACCGATGGTTGGAGACGGTAGTCACGTATTTTGGTCCGATTGTGTAGGAGGGTTAAGTAAAGATTTTGATTGGGTCTATTTTATGTTATTTAATAAAGCTTAACAGGACTCACCTTGCACACTAGCCAATTCAGTTCCACTACAAACTACTTCCCCCGGGCTTTTCACAATAAAAGCATGTTAAAGTCTCCATGTGTTAACATCTCCATTATAATGACGCGCATTAAATCTAACTGTGCACGTCACTGAAGAGTTGTTTACAACATTCAGCGATGGTGTAAACAGGATGTTTTTCTCTTTTACTTCAGTCAATATAAGCAGCTGAAACACCACCCTCCGCCAGATACTCCAACAAGCTGCTCCAACAATAACATTAGCATGCTAACGCACGTAGCGGTGCTGCGAGGAAAAGTGTCCCCCGGGAAACAGTTCACTGGCAGCCGCGACGAAACGTTCCGCACGTGTTCAGGCTATTAAACCTGAACACGAATGTCCAGCATTCAGAAAATTCATATAACAAAAATAAAAACAGGTATTAGGTATGAACTGGTATACCGCCCAACACTAATATCTGTATCTGTCTGACAAGTAAAACTGGGCCTATTTTAACGTCTGATATTGATTTTTTTTGGTCTGCTCATTTTTTACGGTATTGGAAAAAAGACAATTGTGTTTGTGTAATATCAGTAAATATAGGTTATCGGCCATAACAGCAATATTAATATTGATATCTGCTTGGTGCATCCCTAATAATACGTTTTAATAGACAGACAGAATATCAAGTCAAATCTAGAAAGAACCCACATTACATAAAAGTTACAAAATGTTTCAGCTTCAGCTGCCTCCACAGACTGGACTGAGGTCTGGAGACAGAGCTACTCCGTGATCTTAATGTCTACTTTTTGTTGTCACTTCTTCTTTGGTGCCGATTTATTTATGTATTTGAATAGTTGACAAAAGGTATTGCGTGTGGACTCTTTGCATCTGTTCACCCTCCGTTCCATGTTTTCTGGCGCCTGTGTTTCAGGGTAAGACGGAAGAAGAGAGGCAGCAGATGATCAAAGCTTTGAGAGAAGAGCTGCGTCTGGAGGAGGCTCGCCTGGTGCTGCTCAAGAAGCTCAGGCAGAGTCAGATGCAGAAGGAGAACGTGGTGCAGAAGGTCAGTACTGCTGTCACCTTTACTGCCAGAAAACGTGCACCACCCAACACCAAACATGCTACATTTAATGGTAGAGTTAGACCAAACTCTGTTGCTTCATCAATCAGGTCAGATATTAGCCAATCATAGAGCCTTTCTCCTCTCCCACGCTGCTGTCCCACAGTGTTACACACAGGGCTCATATCACAACACAACATGAACGGAAATGATCCTTCAGTGTAACTGAAGAAAAACACCCAAACAAAAAACATGAAATAGACTGAGGTTCTTTATAATCTTTAAACTTTAAGAATAGCTCTGTGATAAAAGAATGTTTACATCAGTGTTGTCTTCTCAGTTATGTTGATTGATGTTTTAAATCACTGCCTTATGTGACATAAACAGTTAGTTGTGTTGGCACTTTATAAGCTGGATTAATTAGCCTCGTACAAGAAGAGGGTGAGATAAACACGTGTTGGTAAAGGTGTGAATAGCTATCGCTTTCTGTTCTTTAATGCAGTGGTTCCCAAACTTTTTATCTTCTGACCCACAAAATATCCATGGCAAAAACTTGTGACCCCAAATATT